AATCACATGAATCCATTAAACAGGCCACAAAGAATATATTGCCTATAAACTAACATATACATCTGTTTATATATTTCTTAAGATTTCAATTATTATTATCTATCTAAAAAATTTAGGAAGCTCAGACAGACCCAACACAGAAGCTGAGGCTTTGTGCCTTTGTGTCTTTCTCTGTAAAATTGATGTTGAGCCTATTTTCATTTGCAGAATAATTATGGAAAACTTTTTAATGTAGGCTTTTAATCAAGACTTGGTATCATTCTTTTCTCCTTAGGCCCTTCTTGCCCTAGCATTAAAAGAAAGATTTGCCACACTAGATTATGTCAGCAATTCCAGCTATTCCAATAACTCCCTTTCAATATTTGACAAACGATCAGGTGAAAAACGTTCCCAGTGTATCCAAACAAAAGATGTAAAACTTTGTTAGCTATATCTAAACCCATGCTGGGATATCATGTTGACCTTGTCTTCTAAGAGAAAAATGACGTTTGCTTAAAACAAACATGCTTTAGCAAGAGTTTAGATGACTTGGGTCCTTAAAAGTCAGACCAACTGTGTTGGGTCTGTCTGAGCTGGAGTCACCTTTTCCCTGCAGCAGCCCACACAGTGCTGTGCTCTGCACTCATAGCTGGAACAGCACTGATATCACTCCAGTGTTGTGTCTATTGCTGCATAGTGCTGGCACAGCATCAGGACTCCTTCCAAGCCCCCAAGAGCCAGCAGGCTGGGGGTGGGAAAGTGATGGGGAGGGGACATTGCCGGGGCAGCTGACCTAAACCAACCAAAGGGATATTCCATAATACCTGATGTCACACTCTGCAATAAAAAGGGGGGCTCTCATAGGGGAGGGGGCTGTTCCCTCTGAACAACCACTACACGTTTTGAGGCCCAGGACGTGGCCAAACATCGCTCGTTGATGGGAAGTAGAGAATAATTTTTTCCCTTCTCTCTGTGCTTCTGCGCGGACTTACTGTTTCTGTGGTTTCTTTTTCTCCCCTTTCCCTTTCCCTTTAATTAAACCTTTCTCATCTCAAACCTTGAGTTCTCTGTGTTGTATTTTCTCTCCCTTCTTCTTTGAGGAGAGGGGGAGTGAGAGTGGTTGTGGTGGAGCTTGGCTGCCCACCTGAGTAAAACCACCACACCAACCTATTACATTACTCAGATTTTTACCCTTGTAACCTCTCTTGACAAATAACAGCCTATCAGGCATGTCCAAAAAAAGCCATGAATATGACCATCAGGAAAGGTGATAAGATGAGGAAACAAAAGGCAAAGTAAACTGTAAGGAGTTTTTATCTTTATTATTTTCCAGGACTGCTATTGCCAACACAATGATGTGTCTGAGACAGCTGAACAACAAGAACCAGCAGCAGATATATAGGAACAGATACTGAATATGAAAATATATAAAATAGGAAGATGAAGAAAGCGATGCAAATAATGGTTCTCTATTTGTTTCTATATTTTCTTTAACAGGTGTTTTTTGAGACCAATATGCTTATGAACTACATTGCACTCCATTTACTGAAACAAAAATTTACTGAAACTGTCAAACCTATGGTTTGATTTTGGATAGTCCTGTGTGGAAACAGGAAATGGAATCGATGATCCTTGTGGGTCCCTCCCAACTTAGGAAATTCTATGATTCTATAACAGTCATATGAGAAATTAATGCAGGAAGCAGCAAACACATTTACAAAGATGATTGGCATCTCAGACAAAATAAATTACAGTTCTTCATGTTTCAGAAACTTATGAAATGAAAAAGTCTGCAAGTACAACTTCCAGATCAGCATGTATAAATAATTGACTGGCTAGTGCCCTAGAGTGTTACAAGAAACCTTAGGTCCCTCTGCAGTCTATCTGAGAAGCCTGTGGGATGAAGCATTTTTCTTTGACTACAGCTATACACGGTCCTGAATCTGGATTTCTCCTAAACTACAGACTGTGAATCCAAATTCACTAATCACAACAACATCATGGATAACAGTGTTGCTGAAAAATCCTTCTGTTTCAATAAAAAATATATTTAACTACAGGATAGTTGGTTTCACAGAGGATGTTCTCACTGACTGTTGTACATGACCCAGGTCATGGCAGGGCATAGGATGTGGTAGCAGCAAGTCTTCACAAAATGACAGTGAGATACATGCAGAAAGGGAATGATAAATAGACCAGAGTCCTACATCTCTGAGACCAAAGGACTTAGTTTCTTCATAGTCTTCTTCCCCAGTCCCACTGCCTGTCTCCATGAAATACAAGTTACAGGGCTGCCTGTAAGTTGGTAGGGAGCTGTAACTTGGTAGCCCTGCTAAACTGGGTTTCTCCTACTCAGAGCGAAGTAGCTCAGGATAATTGTTTCTGGGTTGCCTATGGGACCATGTTGATTCCAACATTATCTGCCAGTTTGCGTCTGAGCGTCCTTGCTAAGGAGGGCTGTTGGGCTGCTCTAGACAAAGGTCAGCACAAGAGCCAACTTGGGGGTCCACCAGGGAGTTTGGTCTAGTGTAACTCTGAGACATCAGCTGCTATCGAGTCAAATAAACTAGTATCTCAGCCAGCAGAGAGAAGGCAACATCAAAACATAACTTGCTGCAGGCAGATTGCTATCATACCTGACCAGATGGTCAGAGAATGCCTAGATTTTGTCTCCTTAAATACAGCGATCTGGAGAAAATCAGAGACTGTATTGCTGTGAGAAAAATTGCTTTATACTTTTTCTTTCCTATCATGGCAAATCTATCATATCAGCATCCTGGATGAGATAAGCTTGAGGTCTACTTGGGGAGAGGGAGAGAAAATACACACAAAGATATTTCTGGTACAGATTCTATCTTTGAAAGTGTTAAGCACAATGGAGTCCTGACTGTTTTCTAGTTATCAGCCTAATAAAAATTATAAATAAAAATTATAACTAATAAGAATACAATGGTGGAAAGAAGATGTTCTCAGAAATAAAATATATTGCCATGATTGTAAAAGATCAACATTTTTCTTGTTAAATGATGAGCTTTCTTTTTAATATCAGCATTATAATAGACTATACTATGAATCTCTTTATCATACCTAAAGCACTGTTAATTCATCTTTCATGAATATATTAGAAGAGAGAGTTTTCCCATAGGCAAACACATCATACATATTTGCAAATGTCTTACATAATGATGCAAACACTATGCATAGAGAGTAGCTGTATTATGGTGAGAGGGAGAAACAGCACATGCACAAAAAAAAAAAAAAAAGAAAAAAAAAAAAAGACTTTCATTCAGTTTCATTAAATACTTAAACCGACAAAATAAAGTAAGTCCAATTTTTGCTGTATATAAATCTTGCAAGCAAGGAAAAGGCTGCCATTTAAATTTATTCTTTAGTTTAAATTCAGCTGTTCATAATAAGGAGTTGACGACTGTAGATAGAACAAATGATTTGTTAACATGTCGATTGCATTTGTTCTTAAAATAAAACACTGTTCATTTTCCACTTATATCTACTAGCAGATTCCTAAATATCTTCTTGTTTGTGAAACAGTGCATGCATGATACTCTGTTTAAGAAAATCTTATTGATATACTACTGTATGGAAATGAAATTGGAAATCACAGACACAAAATAAATGGTAGTCATTTTATTTAGCTTGTTACCATCTAGTCTAGTCCAAGAATATTACCTTAACAGCAGACTCTGAATTCATGAAGAGTTACATAAGAGCCTTGTTGTCAAACATGAAAACAACCCATTTAATGGTTGTTTTACATCTACACTGGAAGTTTTCTTTCATTATCCTGTTCCTGGATCTTATTATAGCCATTGTTTAATTTGTGCTCTGTTTTACGAATGACACTTGTACAGGCCTCATGGGGCTGCTGATAGAAGTGTGGTGCTCTTCTTCCCTTGTGTCAATTCTTTTGCAAACCTTTATAACTAGCCACTTAACAAATTGAGGAAAATGAGTCTGTGGTTGTGAAGTGCTAAGTCAACCATACAACAGTCAAAGCTGATACATAAAATGTCATGGCACTCAGCTGTCCAAAGGGTTAACAAAACCTCTATTATGGTGGGTTAATACACTGAAATGAGGTGTACAATTACCAAATGAATGTACATATGTTAGAAACATTTTCTTCAGTTAAAAAATAGTTTCAAAATGAAGAATTTTAAATTCAATGTCTTTCTTGAAGGAAGAGTTAATGAAATTTTTAAACACTGAGTTAAATACCTTGGCTTAAAGCCTATGCCAGCCAACCTCAGTGCTTTGTCTGCTGAGCTGATGCTCAGCCCTTAAAGTCTGAGCATCAGCTCAGCAGTCATCTTTTGCAGAGAAAATGTCCCAGCTTTTAGTATGTCACAATTTTCCACGTTCCTGTGAGATACACCATGGTTAATTTTCTGACATTAGCTTAAATAAGTAATGCTGTTTGTAACATAAATATTGCTTGCACTCACACATTTTTGCTCTACTAAACACCTTTTTACTTTTTTTTTAATTTTATTTTTTGTCAACTGAAATACAATATTTTCTTCCAGTTTTTGATCTGAAGTTTTTCAGACCAAAACCTTACATTTTATGCTCTGGGTTTAGCTTGTTTTATGTAAATATGATTTCATTAAAATTATTTTTAAAATAAAATAATATTTTCTACTCAGTCTTTTTTAATTATATTTTTATCTGATGGTTCTATCATTAAGATAGCAAAAAGATTTTTGTGTTAATTTCATATGCATAAATGAATATATATGTATGCACTTATGTGTTAGTACATTTCTGTAGATGTCTACCCAGAGTTCGCCACACTATGACAGCTATCAGTCTGCCTAAAGGTTTGCAAGCTTATTTACATGAAGTATATTTCACTTATTGCAGAAGCAGCCTTTGAACCAGGAATAGGAATCAGAGACTCCTCATTCTCAGGTGAGTGATTTAACTACTGAGCTCAATTAGTCATGACATCTTTTTCCTATGTAGTGGGAGGACACCAGTAAGGCAAGTGGAACAAGCCCTCCCCCTTTACCCTGAACAGATGGTTGCTCATTGATTAGGGGCTCCCCTGAGATGTGGGAGGGGTGGGTTTGAACCTCTGCCAATGGAAAGGGAATTAAATCCACATCTTTAATTTGAGTCTGCCTGCCGCTGAAGGGGAAAGCTGCACCATGAAGACATCTTGAAAGAAAGACTGCTCTTTGAAAAGGTTATAATACAGTTCACTGAATCTAGAAAGATGATTTCAGGCTGTGAATTCAGCCTGATGTTACTCCTTTGCTAGGTAAGGTTCCTGAACAATTGGAATATACAACTAATTCCTCTAAGCGTTTCAGATTAGCCAGACAGGACAATGTGACTAGTAGCCTGGCTCTGGTGAATGTTGTAGTGATGGCATGTTGATCTGAACTGTCTAACCCCATCCAGGTACTCTGCTAGAGTTTAAATCCAGAACACAGATTTGTGGATTTCACTTCAAGCTTTTGTATTTCTGAATTTTGCATTTCCAAAAGGGTTTCTATGCTATGGAAAAGCTCCCCAGCAGTGAAGCCAGTAGTAGAAATATTCACCTTTTTCTAGGCCAGCCCCATATCAATGCAATATACACAGTTTTTGAGACCAAAGGCCTGCATTTGATTATGGTGATGAAGTAAGTGTTTCTCTACAAAGTTCCATCTAGAGTAGCTGGAATTGTAAATGTACAAAATAGGAGTATCTTTATGTTCATTGTGTGGTTAGAAAGAAAAAGAAGAGGTACTTCTACACAGCAGCTGAGGGAGCTGGGATTGTTCAGCCTGGAGAAGAGGCTCAGGGATGACCTTATTGCTCTTTACAGATACCTTAAAGGAGGGTGTAGAGAGGTGGGGGTTGGTCTGTTCTCCCACATGCCTGGTGACAGGACGAGGGGGAATGGGCTTAAGTTGTGCCAGGGGAGTTTTATGTTAGATGTTAGGAAGAACTTCTTTACTGAAAGGGTTGTTAGACACTGGAATAGGCTGCCCAGGGAGGTGGTGGAGTCACCATCCCTGGAAGTCTTTAAAAGACGTTTAGATGTAGAGCTTAGGGATATGGTTTAGTGGGGACTGTTAGCGTTAGGTCAGAGGTTGGACTCGATGATCTTGAAGTCTCTTCCAACCTAGAAATTCTGTGATTCTGTAATCAGTGATGCAAAATAGTTTTACAAGATGAAGGAGCATACTTCCCACTCCACATGCAAATTCTAGCACTTGTGACTGCACAGCTCAGTGGCTGAGGTATGCTACTACAACAGACACTTGATTCCTGAATTCATGCAGCGACAAGTGAGACTAGTGGATGTGCATGTTGTCAGACACCCAGCACCTGGCTGAGTGTTAGCATGCAACATGTTAGCATTCTTCAAGCCTCTCAATGACTCGCACTGCTATAGCATCAACACCAGGCATGAGACTCCTCCTTCCTTGATCAGTGTACTCTGGGCAGCCCTTACAGGAAGGAAGCTGGACAGTGCTTATGACAGACATTGTGCAGTTCATATCTAACACAAAAGGAAGGTTGGTGGACAGAGGAAACACGTAGATCAGACTGTGAACATGATGGTGTTGTTCATGGCAGAATAGACACCTAGACAATTTGATTGCATATTGGTGGGTATCTTAGGGATATGGTTTAGTGGGGACTGTTAGCGTTAGGTCAGAGGTTGGACTCAATGATCTTGAGGTCTCTTCCAACCTAGAAATTCTGTGATTCTGTGATTCTGTATCGCTCCTGGTTAGAGCAGTGAAAATGCTGGAAATGGCTTCTCATGATGATGATGTGAAACTGGTGAACTAAGGTGAACAAAAGTTTACTAATGATTGTAGAGAGTAGCTTGATATGGACAGCTGAGGATAGGTGCAGGAGTGCAGAACCTGAAGCAGGAGGGAGATAAGACACACCTTGTGCTGTAAGTAGAGGTACATACCAGTGAGCTGTTTAGAGGATAGCAAGTCCCCTTCTTTACAGAAAAATTCTGCCTTACAACCCCCTTTTGGAATATGTTTTTTACTGTGAGTGATTCCCACTTCCTTTATCTTCTGAGTCATAAACTCCACTGAGGCTAATGAGGGAGATAGCAATATTATTTACTCTGAATGCAGTATGTACCTACATTTTCTAGCTTGATATTATTCCACCTGACTACAGAGAATTAAATCAAAGAGGTTGCCAGGGAAAACCAAGCTAGAAACAAAACAATGACAGAGATGAGCTATCTCTAGAGAAATGTCAAGTGACAGAAAGAAATGCAGGGAGATATTAATGGTGAGACATTCACCTGCTTGTTTCCAGTCAGGTTAACAGGTGTGTTTTCCCTGACCAAAGCCTAAGAGAAAAAGAAAATTAAATTGTTTAAAAAAAGAAATAAATCCCTGGATAAATAAGAGGGGATGGGGGAGTACTTAGTTGCAAGTAAATGCTTCAGGGAGGCAGTGAAAGGAAAGTGGGGAAGCAGCATCTGTCTCCTAGGCTAGGAAAGGGGTGTCCACTCTGAAAAGAAGTTAACAAAACTCACAGGAATAAGCATGATTCAGAAACTGGTCTTCTTCTGTTTTATCTGCTTTCTCAGAAAGCTGTGTACTTTGCAATGAATAAATAATGCTCTGTTTTGAAGAAGCGGCCTTGCAGGTGCCAAATGCAGTCAGATTTGCTGTTTTTTCACAGGTGGAAAAATGGAAGGCTGTATCCGAGTGATCTAGTCTAGGGACTGTGCAGTTATATCTGGAGTGGGACTGTGAAACCTCTCACTAGTAGGATGCACTCAGGAGAGATGAAAAGGTTCTAAAATGTAGCTCACCAAAAGTGATAGCCACTATGTTAGGACTACTGCAAGTTTTACTCTTTTGCTTCTCTCAAGCTGTGGACCCAAGAGAAGAGATGCTCTCTATCTAGCGTGCAGCAGAGTCTTCAATGGTTTTGTAACTATGCAAATTGCTAGGAGGATAACATCACAAAAGTAAAGAATACGACAAAATAAGGGGTGGGCATCCCACCTGCTTGTGAAATAAGTGAAGAACTCATCCTGGACACTTGCAAATATGTGGGACCCTGGAAGATGAAAGATATTTTGATGAGCGTTCATTAGGGTTACAAATGTTCATTAAAGTGCTGATAAGTATTTTCACTTCTAAATAACAATGGAAATCCACTGCAAATCAGTAATTACCAAAAGTGGCTGACAGCTTAGTGCTGTGTATCACCTAAAAGATACATATACATCATAGGGGATATTTCCACACTTACTTATTGGAAGCATCAGCAACAAAATTACTCTTAAAGGAAGAGAACAGTAACATATGACTGTTAAAGATGTTATCACTAAGAGAAAAAAAGCAAAATATTTCAGAACAATCTTTAGGCTTTTTCTGTTATAAATTCCATTGCCCTTATTCTATGACTAGAGATGATTTCTAGTGCTTTGATTCTCTATCGGTACATCACATCACATTGAATTCCCTTCTAAAAATATATATACACCTATAAAATTTCTACACATACAAACAGATCTTAACTGTACAGTTTTCTTTCCCCATCTAATTGTTGTGTTATTGAGCCACATTGAATTATATCACTTCTACACATGCATCATACTAGTAACTTACAATTTACTCTGTTTATTAATTCCCCCTGGCAAGTTGAAATTTTAAATAAAATGCCCTAGAATATATGACCATGATGAATTGAAACAAATTAGATGTATTACTCTATGTAGGAGGTAGTATTGACCTATTCTAAAATGCATTATTAGACCAATTTTAAAACAGAAGAATCACAGCAATTGATTAGCAGCTGCTGGAATGCATCTTACATCAATACATAAGTGTATTTCAACAGTTTTCAGTGTGCTGTTACAAGAACTGATCTGCAGCTTAAATTTTGCTTCCCCCTTCATCATCTAGCTTTAATATGTTTATTTGTTAATGCTGGGATATAAAAGGCCAAATTCTCTGGACTTGATCCTACGGTCAGTGCTGCTGCTGGTGTAAATCACTTAGAGGGAAATAGGATTATTTAGGATTCATAGTAGTAATCAAGCAATAACTATCCTTTGTGTTTCCTTTCAGAAAGAACTCTGTCGTATTGGATAAGATTACCTTGTGGTGATATACTTCAGAAATAACTTCAAAAAGTCAAGCAAGAAGGAAGAGGAAATTCGAGCTTTTTCCTCACTGCTCAGCTACACCTGCTCTGCAATCAATTAAATTTGTGGGACTACTCAAATTAAAAAGGAACTCTTTGAAAACCTTTGGGCCACAGTTACTTAAAAAGGAACAAATAATCAAAATGAATATTTGAGAGTGAGATGTCTTCCTCTAATACTGAAGAATAAAAGCATTTAGAATATTCGTTAGTCAAATGCAAGGTAACAACAGCAACAAACATTGTCCATTAATCTCCTTATGCAGTTGTGTTAATGGTCTTTTATATATATTTATGGTCTCTAACAAACACAGAATAATTTCTATCTGTTTCTATCTAATTTCTATCAGTTAAAGAGCAAAGGTTTCCTTGCTCATAAGGGTAAAACAGAAGTAAATTCTTTAGTTAAATATTAAAAGGCATGTGTGCTAGAGCAGCATTAATAAATGCATAACATTTAAATACACTGGATTTGATTTTATTTCTTATCCTTTTACATACAAATGAAATCACTGTGAGTGTGTGTGCATGTACTATTTTAAATATGCAATAAAAAGGCATTTTTCACCTAGAATGAATTGTATTTGTCATTGCGTACAAAGCCTTTCAGAGAATTTGTTGATTTTTTGCAAAGGCTCCTATACTTCTCATTCCTTTTGCATTATTTCAATCAGCAATGGATATACATCTTTGTTAGCCTAATTTGGGGGCCTACAGAGCAGGAAGAAGGAAAGCACAAAGGAACACACTTGACATATTGGTCTATTTGCTACCTCTTTTAAGCTCAATGCATACTAATGAAAGTGATCCAAACTATTCTTCTCCACTCCTCACTTAACAAGCATAATAATAAATGAATATTTAAACTAGCTGCAAATATATTAAGTGGAAACAAATAGGTTTCATTTGTAACAAGTGCACACAGGTTAATTAACAAGAAGGAGCTTTTGTGTTGAAACAAGGCTCCCTGATGCTGTACATGCAGGTGCCGTTAAGGGCCAATTGAGCTCTATAGGATAATTATGAAGTACCATTGTGCTCCACCGTTTGTTAACAAAGTGCTGCCTGCAATTTGCCTAAACCTATAAACCATCATCTGTGATCCTCAGCAGCAATTAAGTGACAAACATCTTCTCATCGGAGACTTGGGAAAACAAAAGAGACATGATAGCATTTAAGGAGCCAGATGGATATTTCAGAATGTCAACTCTGACAGCCTCCCTTTCAATAACAAAATATAAAACAGGAGCCTGTTTGATACCATGCTGAGGGGGAGAAGTCATATCCAAATTATTAAGAGGAGGGCAGTGTTAATAATCATAGGGATGCTCATTTGAACGGCTCTAAGTGGGAAAGCCTTGGATCAGCAAACAAGAGAAAGGTAAAGCCCTTTCTCCTCTCAAAACAGTTGTAGCTGCAGCTCTTTTGAGTCTTTTTTTTTTTTTTCTTGTAATTTTTCCTTCCTTGTAATGTCTTATCTTCATAGAAGATGAGTTTTCTCCTGTGAACTAGTGTAAATTTATTTTGTATTTCTAAGAAAAGGACAAACCAACATACAGAATTTTCTCCAAGGCACAAATTACTAATTAGTTCTGCAAAAAATAGCCTATATTAAGAAAAATGATAGATCAGCACAAAGAGGCATTTTAAAACAAGAGATCTATCCCTACTGTAAAATAATTGATCTAGAAGTTTTGAGGATGTAATCCTTAAAATGCTTCTGAAAGCTCAGCAATAATTCCAGAATCTATAAACTTTATAAAAGCATAGCTGAGTTAATTCAATTAATTGCCTGGCTAGGAGACCCTCCAAAACTTGTAGAAGCTCTTGTTTTCATAGAGAAGAATCTTCTGGGCATTTTGTTGCCTACATTAAATGACATTGTCTAGCTGATCTGTGTAATTGGTAGAGCTAAAAGGCCCAGTATTCAGTAATATGAATAAAAAACAACAACAACAATTATATATGTATGAGTTACACTAGCTTGTCTACATTTTTTTTCCCCTATTGTCAAAACAACAGCATTTACAAATGTTTTCAGGAACCATTCTGAAGCCACAGCTGAGTGTGTTTTAATGTACCATCAGGTCAACAGCTCTTTTGAAAGAAAAAATCAACCCAGGGCCAAACAATCAGACGGGCCTAATTAAGTACTTCACTGGTAAGAGAAGTGCTCAGATAACTACAGCTGATGTGACCCTTTTCTTTGTACTTCACTGGGTTCCTGTATACCTTTGCCACTTTCCTCTGGATTTATGTTTTTATGAATTATTTAAAAACTGTAACTTCAGATCTACAATTAGTTTTCAATGAAACAGATGTGAGAAAATAATCACAACTTAAACAGCTTAAAAACTGCTCTGATCTTGACAGAATGCAAAATGCCATGTTTCCAAGCCCACAAAATTCATCACTTGGCAAAAGTGTCATTAATCTCTGCAGGCTTTCTGGCCCTTCCTTTCTGTGTTCTGTCAAATGCCATGGATCACCTAGAAATCTGAAAGTCATGATAGAGAATTTTTTTTTTCTTTAATGAGAGAAGGAGAAAAAAAAATGATTTCACATTTACAAAAAAAAAAAAAAGGAAAGATAAAAAAGATGATCAATGTAGGCACGCTTTACCTTTGTATAACATTACACCATGCTAGCTCACTTATAATGGAAAACTGATGACTGTATTTTGCCATGCTTAGGATTTTATGTTTGTTTTCCCACTTTATATATATACTTCAACTGGAACAAATACAAGACTGGCTAAATCTAAAGTACTGAGCTCTTGCTGACTCCAATGGCATCCCCAATGACCCATGAGCTGATTCGTCTTTTCCCTCACAAAAATTGTCTCCTTTACCTTAAGAGACGCCCCACATGATGCTTGAAGACACATCCTGTATCTTTTCTTTAGGCAGATTGATAGGGATCTACTCCAATCATTCTGAATGTCATAAGGTAGTCTTTCACTGATTCTAGTAACTGCACCACCTTCTAACAACTTGTACAATAAAGCTTTGGAGTTTCATTTAGGGACATTTTGACTTTAAAATACGTATAGAGAAAAAGCCAACACCACATAAAAGGAGAGAGTTGAAAGTACAACATTTGTATACTCATGAAAACATAACATGCAATATCTGAGACTGAGAAATCTAAGGACAAGAAGTGAAACTCTTAAACAATTCATTCAATATATTTTACACATTTTTCAGGAGGAGACCAAAAATTCATGGCAATTTCTAAGATGCATTGAGGTGTCATTTTGCCATTAAAATATAAGATCTAGGGGTGTGAAGTTAAATGAACACCTCTGATCTAATTATTCACTTTGTACTAAATGGCAGCATGCACTACAGTAAGTACAACTGACATTTCATATCCCTGTGCTTATGTTTCTACTCATTCTGATTGTGTTTTCTTAAAAATTATCATATTATGATTCACAGTCCTGGTGGGTGCAAAATGGCTATGGATGTCTCAAGCTTTTGTTGGAACTTAGATAACTAGAAACACTTCAGGGCAAATCTGCAGAGGCTGTTTCTGTATTCAAAGCCATAAAGGAAGTGTATTCACTATGAAGTTCTGACTTCCTTTACAAGTCTTCATCTTAATGACCCTGGAGCTTCTCTCTACTTAGAAATAAATTCCAGGTGGGCTTTCAACCGAACTGACTTTGTGTTTAGTGAAGACTGAACTCTGAATAAAATTTAGGATTTCACACGACTATGCAATAATCTCCAATTACCTCAGCAAATCTTGGCTAAGGATACATACAAAAAAGCATATCACTGACTTTACGTTCATATGTAATCATCTTTTGGAAAGAAGGAAATAGAGAAAGAGAAAGAGAGAGAGAGAGGGAGAGAGAAGGAAGGAAGGAAGGAAGGAAGGAAGGAAGGAAGGAAGGAAGGAAGGAAGGAAGGAAGGAAGGAAAGGGAAGAGAAGGGAGTGGGGGGAGGAAGGGAGGATAATAACTTCTTTACTGGATCAAAACTTCCTGAGCAAGAAATCTCTGTGCTATTTAAATATCTTTTCAGTATTTAGTTTGTTACTCTACTCAAAGAATTCATTAACTGCCATTTATGCAAATTCCATTATGTACTTACAAGATTTTTTCCACTGAAAAGAAATTAAAAAAATACCAAACATTATTGTTTTATTCTCCACCGGCTAAACCTTTTACGAATATTACATTCTGTTATAAACACATGGATTGTCACAACCTATATAAAATAACTTTCAAACATTGTGAAAGAAAAATACTGCTTACAACTAGGGGCTTTTAACCTAATTAGCATAACTAAGCATAAAAAATAAATGATCAGAGACTATAATGTGAAAAATAATTGAAAACAATGGCTATGTTTCAGAACTGTACAAATCAGACCAATGGTTTGTCTTATATTATTACGGTCCAAGGAAGAAGGATGGTGAATAAATGGGAAATAAGTACTGTAAAGATGTGTTTAGGGAACTTATACTGAGAGTATGCAATCCAAATTACCCAAGTGGATTTAAATATTTGAGTTTTATTTAGCTCTCCTGTCTGTATTGGCTAGAAGGAAAGTTAATAACAATCCGTTCGTGCAGTCTTTATCCATAAGAGTAGAGGGCTGAAGACAGCAGTTCTAGAAAGTGATGTGGAAGTCAATTAGTGGTAACATGCATAGGTACAGTGCTTCCCAAGGGAGTCCTAATTTATCTCAAAAAGCAGCAATGATAGCAGGAAAGGTGATCAAGACGGACAGAGGAACTTTGAAAACCTGGGAAGCTGATATAAACATAAGAATACATAGAATTTGAAGAAGCTAGCATTATGGAGAAAGGGAAATCAAGAGAAAGGATGATCCACAGGGCTTTTCATTGCAGGTCTGAACTAGCTAAAGGATGCATAAAGAATCTTTCCTGTCCTGCAATCCACCAAGCTGAAATTGGAGGAAGTCCCCAAGGAGTTTTCCAAAGAATCCAGCCTTAGAATATCTGTTCTGGAAAGGGGATCTATATCAGAATCTACTACTGTGCCTTAGGGTTGTTTAGCAGAACACCTAATTCAAATAGATTTTAATATAATTTGCTCTGAAAAAATAAAAAAAGCATCATCCAGTCTTCTTTTCTACTGCAACCAAACAATACTCATTAGCTGACTTGAGAACTTGAGAATAGTTAGAGAAAGTTAGGCAGCTAACATGAAATTTACCCAACTTTGAATTTGTTGAGAATATTATTCTTAACATTTATCAGGGAATTGGAAGTGCAGGATTGCCATGTTGTACGCAGTCATAGCAAGTTCTTCCAGTTTAGTTGATTTGAATATAACACATAGACTCTAAAGCATCCCTAAAGCATCCCTAAAATTAAGAATTTCATGGAAATTATCAATAAAACAAACCAAAAAAAAAAAAAGGCTATCCCATTTGTTTGTCGTTTCCACAAAATAAAATAGTTTACGTTGTATTATTCTCTATGTTGCAGTGATATCAGACATTTGGTTTCAAGTGGTCACTAAAGAATATTTATGAAACGTTCTCCTCCCAAGAAAAAAAAAAAAAAAAATAGTACTTGTGGCAAGTCTTTTTATGT